TAATGACCCCACAGATATCCAGAACCTAATCCATGACAGAATTGGCATGTTTGGGTCACTGAGAACAAAGAAGATTTGGGAGCAGCTTGCTACAGCAGCATGGCTCAGTACAATCAGGAGAAAGTGCACAACTTGAGGCTCTTTCTTGGGAGGGATAGAGAGATTTAGAGTTTTGTCCAGTCTTACAGTGTACCAGCTACCAGAAGGACTCGTATCTGTCTTGTCTAACTCAGGATGTGAAGGGAGCTGGCAAACTCTGGATGCTAAATGGCCAGTGAGAACTAAAGGGATTGGGGCAGCTTGTTTTTGTAGAATCAGAATTTATAGTGTTGCAGTCACCAGAGAGAACAAGATTATGAACTTCTGAAATAGAAACCTGCCAGCCTCTCTAACTGAGAAATTGCACACACAGCCTCTTCAAAGTCAAACCCACCCGAAATTGGGAGAGATAGCTATTTTTTTCAAATACATGGACGCCCAACACTAAGAAGAAACAGGGAAATACAACCCCCAGAAAGCAACAAAATAAATCTTTAGAAATCGATCTTAAAGAAATTGAGCTACATGAATTACATGACAGAATTCAAAATAACCATCATGAAGATGCCTTTCAAACTCAAGAAAACAATGGACAAAATGAGAATATCAACAAAGAGATAGAAAATATAAGAAAGAATCAAGCTGAAATTTGAGGGTTGAATAAATGAACTGAAAAATTCACCAGAGGGGTTCAAAAGCAAGTTGACAAGTCAAAATAAAGAATGAACAATCTCAGAGACAGGTCATTTGAAATTATCCACCCAGAAAAACAAACAAACAAACAAAAAACAGAAGAAGAAAAAAAGAAAAAGAGTGAAGAAAGCCAAAGGGACTTATATGACACCATCAAGTGGACCAATGTATATATTATGGGATTCCAGAAGAAGAGGGAAAGGAGCAGAAAGCTCACTTAAAGAAATAATGACAGAAGACTACCCAAATCTACATAAGGAAATAGACATCAAGATTCAAGAACTTTAGTGGACTCTAATTAGGATAAATTAAAAGAAATCCACATTGAACATATTATAATCAAATTGTCAAATGTGAAACACAGAAATTTGAAAGTAGCAAGAGAAAATCAAATTTTCACTTAGAAGGGCAACTGTGAAACTATCAAAGGATTTCTTTGCAGAAACCTCATAGGCCAGAAGGGAGTGAAATCAACTCGAAATGGATTAAAGAACTAAACTCAAGACCTGAAACTATAAAAGAAAACAGAGGGGGGAAACTTTATAATATTGTTATTGGTGATGATTTGGATATGGCACCAAACGTACAAGTAGTGAGCAGAAAAATAGACAAGTGAAACTACATCAAACTTAAAAGCTTCTGTGTAGCAAAGAAAACAATTAGCAGAATGAAAAGGCAACCTACAGAATGGAAGAGAGTTTATGCAAGTCATATATCTTATAAGGAATTAATATCCAAATATGTAAGGAACTCCTATAATTCAATAGCAAAAAAACCCCAAGGAACAAAAAACAAAACTGAATAGACATTGATTCAAAGAAGACATACAAAACCAACAGGTATATAAAAAGCTGCTCAACATCACTAATCATCAAGGAAATATAAATCAAAACCACTATGAGATCACTTCACAACAGTTAGAATGGTCATTATATGAAAAAACAGACCCCCCCTCCCCCAAAAAGGCAAGTATTGGCTAAGATATGGAGAAATTAGAACCCTCGTGTTCTGTTGCTGAGAATGTAATATGTTGCAACTGGTATGAAAGACAGTATGGAACTTGCTCAAAATATTAAACATAGGATTGTCAAATGATCCAGCAATCCCATTTCTAGAGAAAAATCTAATTTTTCTCTACCAGTTTATCTTCTAATTGACTTTATTTGTCTATGCAAATGCTATTGATTTTTGCAGGCAATTTTATATCATACTACATTGCTTAATTCTCTTATTATTTAAATTATTTTTATCACTCATTCTCTAAGATTTTCCAAGTACACTATCATATCATCTGCAGATAGAGGTAATTTTAGTACTTCTTTTCCAGTTCTTATAATCTGATTATTGTCCCTAAGTTAATTAAATTGGCAAATACACCCAGAATAATGTTACATAGAATCAGAAATTATCATTGATTTCTTTATTCCTGACTTTAGTAGAAATGCCTCATTGAATATATTTTGAGTTTAAGGTTCTGCCAGATTTAAAAAAATATGAAAACATCCATCCATTTCTATCTCTCAAGAATTTATTAGGAAATATAGCAGTTTCACTAGTATGATTTATAAACTGAAATAAAAATAATTAATAAAAGATTGTGTACATGTGTGTATGTGTTGGAATTTATTTTAGGTTTTGTAGAAATGGGCTTTGGTCCCTTCTTTGAACCTAGAAAGGTGCTTTTCTTTTCACCTCCTCTATATTCCAATGTTTCAAGTGGTTGCTTATGCTCCCCTGGATTCTTCTCACGATAAAAAAGAGGGGAGGTGGGTTGGAAGTGCCTCCAGAAAGAACTATATAGGCATTTTTACATTGCTCATGTATCTCTAAAAATTTCTGATATTTTTGTGCTTAGGTAAACTTTTTACAAGCAGCAATTGTTGCAAGAGCAGAAAACAACCTTGTGTATTCTGATAAGTTAAAAAAGAAATGCTTTTCCAAATATACTCACTTCCTAATCTCTGAAACTTGGAAATATTACCTTATATGGAAAAGAGTGAATTTTAAGTTATATAGTAAAATTATTTAGCGATCTTGAGAGGAGAAGCTTATCTTGGAATATTCAGGTAGGCCTTAAATGTATCTTGTGAGAAATAGACTCAGGGCCTTTTGAAAGAGAGAAACTCAGAACCCAGTACAGAAATCAGATATATTGACTAGATGCTCAAAATTAGCAGCACTACTGAGGGGCAGATGGATAGAATATCACTGTATAGTATTCTAGCCAAGAATGAGTAATCTGAACCTAATTACGAGGAAACATCAGAAAACCCAAAATGAAGAACATTCTATTTGGTAACGAGGTTGTGGGATTTTCTTCCTGAACAACATTAATGTCGTACAAATAAATAAAGGAAGTGTTCTAGACTAAGAGATACTGAAAAGACATTGCAAATAAATGCAATACTTACCCCTAGAATGGATCCCATAGTAAAAGGAGAGAAATGCTATAAAGTTCATCATTGGGTCATTCCAATTGATAAAACTGAAATACGAATAATAGATTTGACACAAGTATCATATAAATGTTATATTTCCTGAAATAGATAACTGTACTGTGGAGAATTTCTACATGTTCAGTATAATTATTGAGAGAGAGAGAGAGAGAGAGAAGAAGAGAAGGAGGGAGGGAGAGAGAGAGAGAAACACAAGAAAACAAAGCAAATGAGGTAAAATGTTACAAAATAAAGAATGCACAGTTTTTCTTTGTACTATTCATTTTCTGCAACTTTTTTATACATTTGAAATTATTTCCAAATAAAAATTATAAAATATATTTTTAAATGTCGTTCTAATGTAGAAATTTTATGAAAAAGCCTATTAAACCAAACTCTTCAAAGTATTTATGATGTCAAATTAGATCTGTAGGTTGAAATCCTCAGATTCTTTGACATGCATGATGGGCTTATGCAGTTCACATTCTCTGTCTCATTGCCCTTGACAAATAGAATTGTGCAATATTTAGATTTTTTTGGACAGTGGGAATCAGTTACTAAACTATTGCGCTGATACATTGACCATTAAGTTAGCAAGCTCTTCTTACTCTTTTTATATACAATGAATTCATTTATGCTATTACATGTATCCTTCACAAAATATTGTCATAATGTCCAGTTTCTAAATCTCCAACAGCATGAGCAACTTTCTATTCCCTCATTATCCCACTTGTATAAAGTCAACGGGGTCTCTCCATCATTTGCTGCCAACCTACGTACTCAACTCATTCTAAATAAGAAGAGGAGAGTAAAAATCAAGCTTGATGATGTGAAATAAAGAGCAATTTTTCAACACTAATTGAAAAACTAAAATTTTATAAACAAATAGCAATTTTCTTACAAGTGGATATCGAGAATGCAAAAACAGAATAATAGCTAATATGTATAGTATACCTCTCCACATAACATGACTAAATGACTAGTTTTGTTTACAGAGACAGCAAAAACGATTAAGATTTTTTTCCTTTTAAAGGGCTTTGCGGGTCCCATGCAATATTTAGGATAACAGAAAAATCCATCTGCAATTTATAGACTCTCTCTCTCTCTCTCTCATACATGGGCACTCAATTTTGAGAAAAGAGAACCTACCTATTTCTGTATGGAATTATGCTATAATTTGGTTCAGTCCCAATACACATAATATTCATTAGTGATTCTGCCTAAAAATCTTACTTGTCAAAATTATAATTTATTTTTAAAATTATCATTTCTATTATTGATGTTATCATGAGCAGAAAATATTAGTGGTTTGTAGTAAATGTGAAATAAAATACAATTGACTTTTTATAATAGCAAAAATGAGGTGGTAATTTTATTGAAAATAAAAACATAATTAACCATAAAGTTTTCTTACTCTTTTAATGTTTTTAAAACTCAATGATACATACATAAATCTTTATATTTTATCATAATTAGAGAAATCATATGATGATTATTCGACTTATCAAGTGAATTTAAGCAAACTCCTTTTGAAATTGTGATTCATCGCTTATCCAAGACTACCTTGGTATGAATCAGGGAAGGGGTGAGGAGAAGGGAGAGGAAAGAAACTTACAAACATGAAAAGCCCTTGTCAACCGATACTGGAAGTGACAGAACAAAATATGTAAACATTAGGCATAGAGAACAAAAATGTTTTAAAATTCAACCTCCATTATGAGCATAAATATTCTATAGCTTTCATTCCAAAGGAAACAGGAACTCTTGAGAATTTATTGCTGCAGATCAGCCATGAAGTTATTGAAATAAATCACTTTGTCTTCTCTTCCCCAGGATCGACATCTTTAAGTATGTGATCTATGGCATCGCAGCTGCCTTCTTTGTGTATGGCATTTTGCTGATGGTGGAAGGTTTCTTCACCACTGGTGCCATCAAAGATCTCTATGGAGATTTCAAAATCACCACCTGTGGCAGATGCGTGAGCGCCTGGGTATGTTATTTGTCTATGTTCAGTGTTTATGTGGATTTATTTCAATAGCACACAGGTGTTTGTATTCATCTGCCAAGAATTAATGTATTTTTTTAACACAGTAACATTCATTCCTATGATTACTATCTTAAATCATAATATCATTTTCTAAATTAAGATGATTCCATGTGAAAATTCAGTTTCAAATTCTCAAATCACAGGTAACACAACTAGTTTTATTTTAGAGGCAGCAAAATTGTTGATTGATTTATGAGTTTTTCCAAAAGGCTTTGGGGTTCCAATACAATAGAATATCAGAAAACCCCATTTGCAATTTAAAGACAATACATACATGTGTCTCTTCTCCTTAAATACGTGTCTCTGTATGTTACCTTAAATTTGGGGGAACTATGTCATCAAATTTCTGTTTAATAGTGACATAAGATAAGAATTATACTGTTATACTTTTTTAGGTTTTAAATCCTTATTGATATGATATTTAATGGTAAATCAAACTTGTCATACTCTAGAGCAGTGGTCCCCAACCTTTTTGGCACCAGGGACCTGAGCTCCTATGAGAATCTAAGCCTGATGATCTGAAGTGGAACAGAGGCAGTGATGCTAGCACTGAGGAGTGGCTGCAAATACAGATAAAGCTCATCTGCCGCTCACCTCCTGCTGTGCAGCCCAGTTCCTAACAGGCCACATACTGGTACCCCTGTGTCTAGGGCTAATGCAGTGAAGACAATGCACGTATATCTATTAAAGCACAAAAGTGGTGAAAGTTAAGAGTGATATGGTTGAATGTACTCTTGCATTTTTATGCAGAATAATTTTTCTATAATGAAACATTAGAGCATTCGTCTTGACTAACATGTCTGTTATTTTTCCAGTGTTATATAAGAACATATATTTAATTGCAACATATTTCATATTAGTAAGGTGTTTCTAATAAGAAATGATATAATTTATTTCAGTCTTACAGAAAAGTTAAAAATTACCTGTTAACTATCAAACTTTTTTTTTTACCAGCTTGTAACAAGTTATATTATGCTGCTCAGTGTCAGTAGTGATAATAATCTGATAAAACAATTTGCCTTTGTTGTGGATATTTGTAGTTGTCTCTAGAATAATTTCTTGTTAAGACTCATTTCTTTTTTTGGGACAATGCTTATTGTAATACCTGTTTTTAGGATGGGTAATATCAAATTACAGGTCTGGAAGGAGTTAAGCTAAAGGTTTTGGATTTATTAAAAAATAAAATATGACTATTCGGTGGGCTAATTATCAGTGATAACTAATCAATTTCTCTAAAAAGGTGAGTTCAGACTTTAGATTCATTTATATTCTGCCAAGAGTATAGTGAATTCAATTAATGATAGGCTTTTTCTTATCATTGGGACAATATCATTACAATACCTCTTGCATCTCTAAATCTCAGTCCAGCTCAGAGTTCATGATTCTAAAGCGCTAGTGAAATGGTAGAGAAAAAGAGTCTCTAAGCACATGTTTATCATTGGGGAATAACCTTTGTTGGAAAGTGTTGATTATTGTTTTGTTGAGAATTGTATAATTTTTTCACAGGATTGTATGCAGAAGTAAAACATTACAGAAGAGAGAGCACATCTATGTACAATTAATAACTATCTGTTTGCCATTCAAACATCTCAAAGATATCTCAAATAAGAATTTTTAAAGCAAAAACACAGGCCACATATTTTTCTATACTAGTAACAATTGTGTCACCAGTCCCACCCAACAGACCAGAAGGGTGGCAGCAGCTGCGTGGGCTCCTCCAGAGGTGCTCCCACCCACTCCTTTAGCCACCCCCACCCCCACCCAGAAATGAGCAGAACCAAGGCAGAAGCAGAAGCTGCATTCTTGTGCATTCTGCAGAGGAGCAATGCAGTGGTAAAGCCTCCGAGTCATACCCTGGCTGTCCCAACACTGCCTGCATGAAGGAGACCAGCTCCACTGCCCAAGAAGTAAACACTATAGAACCTTGCACCCTCTTGCTTGTCATGCAGCACTTGTGGCTCCACGGAATCACACAGGAGAAAAAAGGAAGTTTTATCAATCACTCTCTCCTTCTACTTATCTTACTTTCTTTCCTATTTCCATTCTGCTTTTCTTTTTCTTCCAAATCTGTGGGTAGAGTGTGTCTTACAGTATACTTCATGTTTTATGAGTTCACCGGTTAGCCTGTTTTATAGTCTGTCATAGCTTTAAAAATGTCCTTTTGAGGCTGTGCTCCTTCAGCTTATCTAACGAGACGTTTTCATCACAGGAGCTCTAAGCTCTGAGCTTTTTCTGCCTTCAGTGAAATCTAAAGCTGTTTCTTTTTGTTGTTAAAGTGGAAATATGATTGATTTATAACTCTTTAGATCCATTCCAAATGAAGAAATATTATTTAGAAACATATTATTGTGAAATGATGGGCCTCTGAGTTAAAATTTAATGAACTGTTTTTATATCCTCCGCCCTGAAACAGTTAATGAGAAAGAGACCTCATAGACAGTGACCTGAATAGAACCCGATGGGATATGTTTGCTTACAAAGAGACTTTGCATATTTCAGTAGATATACTTTGTTCATTTAACTAAAGCTTGGGTTTGCATTCTACCTGAACGTGTTTATTATATCATAACATTCCATTCAATATGTGGCATATTTTTTTAGTAATTCATACATTCAGAGACATTTGGAGTCAGAATCGGCTGGCTCCTTTTCATCAGTGCTGCTGCTGACTTCTAAGGTGTTATTTTTATCTCAACTAGTGCACATCTGCTAAAGTTGCCACAGAAAGTTTATAGCTCAACAAACTGTGATTTTCTTAGACATCAAGTCTAAATTGATAGGAATTCAGATGAAAAACCAATTACCTTTTACAAGACATTCTCAAGTTAAATACACTGTAATCAAGGAGCAATTATCTATTTTAGCCTTCTTCCAAAGATTATGGAAACGTTTCCTCTTGCAGTTCTCCCTGCTAAATTTCAGCCTCCCTGCTAAATTTCTAACAATGATTAGAATATCCAGGTTGAGATCAAAACAGTAATTACATGTTTTATTATTATTTTAAGCCACTAAGAAATAATTCATAGCACCTTTGTTTAATTTAATGCTAACATAGTAGCATGTATAACATATGTGTAGCATAGCTAAGACAAGAAATATAACAAGAAGATGCTTACTTTGATAGTCATTTGCATATTCTGATGAAATGATATTAAAATAATGATGTGATAATGAGATGTGCTGGATATTAATTATGAAACTGGCACCTGATCCTTTTCATTTTATGGCAGTTTTTTTCTATCTCATAACAGCAAGTTAGTTAGTATAAATCAAACCAGAGAAATTTTACTGAATTTTTAGAATAAAATGGTCAACATTTTAATACATGGCTGCAATAGGAAAAGTCAGTGAGGCAACTTTATGTATCTAACATCCACAGGACCCATTCTTTCTTCTTTTCTACAAACAGGTCCAGAGCTACTAGAATTTAAAATTCAGTGTTATTCGAGGCAGCAGACAACAAATGCACCATCAATCTGTTACTTCTGTCCATACCTAACCTTTAGGTATACAAAATAATTAATATTTTGCTAAATCAAACAAATTCCTCTCTTTGAGTTTATTTTTAAAGTAAGATTTATTGTGGACCATGTTTATTATTAAGTAATTTCATATATGAATTTCTCTTTTGTTTACATTATAGCCCTAAGAGAGGTAAGCTCATTTCTGGCTCATGATTGAAGAAGTGACTCTGAAGGTTAAGCGATATGCCCAACTTACATAATGAGTGACCCAGTCCTCATACTTCAAATTCAATAATACTTTTATTTCTTCCAGTTTTTATTTGTTTGTTTCCACTGTACTCCTCAAAGAGATATAATGGAGTTGAATTTCAGAAAGTGTTTCATTTAAAAATAGATGTTAATAAAGGCCCCCCCAAAAAAATCAGAAGAATTTTTCAAATTCTCAGAGATTGTTCTAATAAGAGTAGATTGTTTAAGATACAGAGAACAGACTGGTGGTTGCCAGAGGTGGGGGGAAGTACAGGGTGGGTACAATGGGTAAAGGAGGTCAAAACGTACAAACTTCTAATTATAAAATATATAAGTCCTGGGGATTTAATGTATGGCATGGTGATTGTAATAATACTGTAATACTGTTAATAATATTGTATTACATATTGGAAAATTACTATGATATAGATCTCTAAAGTTCTCATAACAAAACAAATTTATAACTATGCTTGGTGACATGTTAATTAAACTTACTGTGGTAATAATTTTGTAATATATACAAATACCGGATCAATATGTTGTGTACCTGCAACTAATATAATGTTATATGTTCATTATACCTCAGTTGAAAATAAGAGTAGGTTATTTATTTATTTAATGCTCATATGACAAAATTTTTACCTGTCATATTACCAGAAATGGTAAGCTAGAAATAAACTTATGGAAATTATGAGACATTTTATTACATATAGAAATTATATTTACCTAGGATTGCACTTGATTAATTTGAATAGTTCTTCAATATTAGTAATTATCATGTTCTAAGATAAAATATAAAATAAGAAGATAGAATTATAATTTTAGCTTGTTTAATTTGGATACTTGAGGGAATGTGAACTACTCTGACATATAACTGGTTTGTACTAAAATTTCAAAAATAAAATCTTTGGTGTGTTTCTTAGAACAAAACTTATATGTTAATAGTAATGAAAATATTTTCTCACAGCAAAGACTTACTCTGTAACATGCAGCTTTATGTATTTTCTGTAAGATTATAGCTCACATAGGAAGCAAATCTGAGTCAGTTCTGTGTTTCTGAAGCCATCCATACCTTTCATTGCCTTGTAAGTAGCAGCAGCAACACAGTTCAAAGTGTCCCAATCCACTTTGAATCTAAATCTATTGAATTATAAGTCCCATTTTACAGCACCTTCAAAAGAAGCTTTTGAAAAGTCCCCTGGGACAGAAAGAAAAAACAAGATAGAGGGGATGTAGCCAAAAGCATGCTGATTACTCTCCCATGGATTTTCGAGCTGCTTTTAACTCTCCAGAGTAATGTGCTTCAAGCTGCCCCGTATCCTGTTATTGTTCGTGAGACTATAAATTAGCCTTGAGATCTACGATTGCAAATAATGAAAATGTTAATAAAGAGGGCTTTTTCCTCCAAGGAGTTCCATTAACAAGATTTCTTCAGTTTTAGGGTGGTTTCCAAACTTCCTAGAGCTTTTCTCCTTGAGTGGGAGACCCCTCTGAATAACTTTCCCAGACTCAAGAACTTCTCATTCTTTTTATTTTCCCAAAAACATGAAATGAAATCTAATTCCCTTATTCTGTAGAGTCCTATCATCCAGGCAAAACATATATCTTGGTGGTAATAGTAGTAATCACAGTAACAATAAATAGAATAAAAATAGCTAGTATTTTGTCTATACTTCTTACGTACCAAGTTCTAAAAGTGCATTTTGGCCTCACCGCAATCATGAGAGATCAATTTAGCAGGTATCCTCATTTCACAAAGGCAGACACAGCAGCATAACAAAGAAGCCTGGACTCAATCTAGCTCAAAAGCCTGTGCCTTTAATCAATATGCTATAAGACCCCTTTTTTTGCTAAACAATGTGACATTTAGGTAAGGAATATAGTGAGTGGCATGTCAGTGCTTGATAAATCAATCATTCTCTACCCTCTTACAGATTAGAATCAAATAGCAAAGAATGGAAAATGATTACATAGTGTCATACAGACGAATGATGTCAGAAGTCAATGGATAGTAATATTTGCAATGTTTATCAATACTTTGAGGCTTGAAGGACACTTCTCACCTAAACTGGGTTCACAGGATGGCTTTGAGAAGGTGGGCAAGGCCATGAGAAAGGAGTTCTGAGAAGGCAAACACACAGCCTAGTAAGCTTCGTCTGTTGATTTGCTTCATTCCACATCCAGAAAGGAGAAACAATAAAGACTACCCAAGAAATATTTTCCTCTCTCTCTCTGGTGGAGTCAACCAAAAGGTTTCCATAGACAATCAAATGTGTTTCAAGACCAGATGTTGGCTAGATTTTCACATGGAATATATTTATTCCTTTGATGAGGAAAATAAGAAGAAAGTGTTTATTGTTCTCTGTGGCTGAAACCCTATTGTATAGCTTTGCACCTACTACAGCCTCATTAAGAATTTGTTGAGCAAGATGAAATAAATCTAAAAGTGAGATTAACTTTAATAATTACATTAAAAGGATGTCACTATTGAAAGATATTTACTCCATTTCTTTCACTGATTTAAATAACCTAATATTCAACAAGTTTTATGTGCTGATATTTTTAGACTCCGCTTTGTTTCATCTGGGATGTAAGAGGTGTAAATATGTCTGCTAAGTCATGGTTTAAGGACATTGTTAGGATCGATGTCAGCTCATCAGACTCTCTAACCACGAGTGTTTCATAGTAGACACTAACAGGAAGTGAGCTTTGAGAGGAGATTAAACAGTGTTATTAGAAAGTGTGTATTCATTATGTTCTGAGTTTCCGAAGTGCAATGACATTTGGCTATTTATAGGAAATAAGGTTGATCTCAGGACGCATTAGTTTGATCCTGACTCTCTTTGAATTAGTTATGTGAATTCCCTACTATCCTTAATCCCAGTAATCTCTGTATATGTTAATCATAATATGACCTTAATATAGGTGCTTAAGCTCTGCCATGATATTAACACCAAGTTTTCCATTTTTTGACAGTGTTATTTTTAGTATATGTCCTGAGAGTTATTAACTAAGTTTCACTTGTTTGAAATTTCACTGAAATCATGGAGTAAAGTCAAGCTATAACTTGTCACCAAAGGAATTAGTAGAGTTGAATAAGAGATTTAGTTTCATGGAGTCTATTTATTTTTATGCCATTTTGTACTGTCATTTTGAAACTGTGACTACCTGAGGTATTAAAGTTAAGCCAGAATACACTACTGCTTCTCTTCAAACTTCTTCTAGAAGCATGCCTCTGAAATTCAAAAGAGGTCCAAATATCTGTAGAAACAGCTTTTGGAATGCAAGGCTTACATTTCAGACATCTCCAAATGTAATCCTACTGCTGTATTATTTAATGGGGTATGGAATATGCTTAAAGGTTTAAAAACACAATTTCACATTTACAGTTGTGTTCATATGTGCTGGTTATCACGTGTTCTGAGTCTGATTACATAAATATAACAGTAATCAAGAATCCTTCAGAAGATGTAACTTTTAAAACAATTTATACTTTAAAGTACTTAAACTCGTGTATATAACATACACAAAGTAAAATTACACAGGTTCTGAGAATGAAAATTCAGATCTGTTAGTAAATGCAGACATGCATATACACACAAAACACATCTTATTCCAGCTTCCAATTTTGTTTTAAAGATATAGTTACAGGTATTTGAGTAGAGAAAGAGAAAAGGATGGGCAGTTGTTTTTCTTTTAGGGACATGTACAAAACACAAATCACAACAAAAACTATAGATTGAGAGCATATTATGTGAATTACCTGGGAAGATGTCTCACATGGGTTCATGAGTATAAAGTCTACACGACTGGGAGTTCTTTACAGCATGAAACTGACTTCTCCACCTCCACATCACCAGGGTATAGAACAGTAACTGATTCATACATTTACTCATTCCTTCAGTCCACAAATACTGTGTTAGTAACAATTGTGTATCAATCATTGAAATATGGCCGAGAATGTAGTTCTAAAAATTCCCTCCTGGGCTTTTTCCTCTTTCATTTTTTCTGCGTTTTGCTGGCATAAGTTGCCAGTCATAAGGTCAGGCCCATGAGCGATAGCACAACAGGCTGCGCTGCTACTTACTGATACAGGATTCAGGTGAGGAAAGACAGGTGTCAATATTGTGGCAGAACAATTACTGTAGTAGTGATTTTCTTATTTGGCTACTTTTCAGAGATAATCTAGGTTTTAATCTCTGACATCTGAGTCTGATTAATTAATACCATATGACAATAATACGGCAACTCTTACAAATTTGTGATCATTCTCTATTTTGATTGGCATTTACCTATATGAACACTTCGTAAGATGAATTACTCATGATCCTGGGAGATATGCTAATAAATCCAGTGATACATAACTTGCATTAAGGAACATAATCGATTTATATCAGTGTGTGGATTCAAGTCTGCCTTTAAACCTCAGAGCATTGTTACTTATACTTGTTTTTTTTTTCAGTTATATCTGAATACAGTTGTTAATACAAGTGTTAGCTGAGATCAAGGGTATATATTTATATAGGCTATTTTATATGTAGATAATATGAATTCAATAATTGATAAGTAATTTGAAGCAACATTAGTACATCTATCTTTTATCAGCTATTCATCCTTCTACCACTATATGCATCCATTTATCTTTTTATCCAGCATCTAAGCCATAGTTGAACTAAAAATCTATTTAACCTATGCTGAAGCTGTGTCTTTTATTCAACTGTGGTTAGGATGCATAAACAGCCTTTTACTATATTTCATAAATATTAAAAATATTCTGAAATAAACAAAGAATTATTTTCAAACTTAAAATCATATTTTGCTATGTTTCTATAGCAAAATTAAAATTAATATGCATGAAAGAATTAGATTTTAAATTTACAAAAATCATCAGACGAGTAGAAATACACATTAACATCATTATATATTAAAGTGACTTGAGGATTACCGTGTTTATGGTAAATGTAAACACGGTTAAGCAGCTTCAATATTTATGATATGAAATGGTGCACATTTAGTTGTAATATAAACTTATTGACATAGTTTTAACTCATTTTGTACAATCCATTCTACATATACCAGTTAATATCTTGTAATATTTAAAAAATGTGTGGTGAGATTTTTAAGATAAATACATGTATGAAACAGGCATAAGATGTAAGATGCAGAAAGATTATTCCTTGTACATCTGAACCTCTGCCATGATGCAACTTTCCGGTAGGTTTATTCACATAACCCCTTATATTCACCATCTCTGTTTCCCACACTGCAGTTCCTTCAGTGTTGTAATAATGATCTGTATACGACAGCAGTGAAATCTTTCAATAGTGAGCTTTGCAGAGTAAACACAAACTTCTTTTCCAGTAGATGACATGTGTTCTCTGTCAACTTTTTCTCCATTGCAGTTTATTATGCTGACATACCTGTTCATGCTGGCCTGGCTGGGAGTGACGGCTTTCACCTCCCTGCCAGTGTACATGTACTTCAATCTGTGGACCATCTGCCGAAATACCACCTTAGTGGAGGGGGCGAATCTCTGCTTGGATCTCCGTCAGTTTGGTAGGTGGATCTCTGGCTGTAAAACAATACTGCCTCAAAAATATTGTAAATCACTTTGGAACCATCATTACTTCTTCTAACAAAAAGATAAGTGTATCAGAGTGTTCTCTTTTAAGATATTCTTTTTAAATTTAAGTAGGAATTTAAGACTGATTGGAAGTTGATCTCACAACATGAACATACAAACATGGATATCTGAGCAGGCTTTCAGGTTGTATTTCCTTGTTTTGGCAAGTTCTGTGATTTCCTTGTCCTGATTCCTCTACATTTTTCCAGACTCTGTGCGCTGTTGGCATCCTACTTTCATTCTCCTTGATAAGCTACACAAATTGTGAAGTGTAGTATGAAGATACGTTAAGAAATATATACCCTATTGTTTCCTGAAACAGGGCAAAAAAACTTTGTAATAATAACAAAATCAAAGAATGTTAAATAAATCATTGGTCCTATTTGGTTATTTTTATTTAGGGCTAAAACCTTGTGTAATAATAATAGTTTCTTATATGTATATGGGCTTGCAATGTATAGACCTCATTCTAAATGGTTTATGTATGTTGACTTGTTTAATTCTCACAACAGTTCTGTATGATGAACACTATTATTAAGTTCCTTATAAATGATGTAGCTGAGGCACAGGAGAGTAAGTAGCTTGCCCAAGGTTATACGTCTAGAAAGTGCCAAAGCAGGATTCAAACCCAGGCAGGCTAGCTGCTGCATCTGTATTCTTAATTATGTCTGCTGCCTCTTCTATTCAAACAAGTACTGAACTATGAATGTGGAAACAGAGTTCAATCTCATCTAACCCATTTGGAATTCTATCCCATCATTTGTAAAAACATGGAAGCTACATATTTTATAAAAGATGTGCCAATCCACATGCTCGAATGGATTCTACCCCCCCCCCGCCCCCCCAAATGGCTATTAAAATCTAACCTATTAACATCGGGGAATGCTGTGAATGGTTTTCTCTAATCAAGTTTCCTTATGCTTCAGGAAAGTGGTAAACACTTCACTAGTTGGTACTTGTAGGCCTTGTGACTCCATGATATACTATAGATAAATTGGAGGATGCAATGTAACTATTCCATAGCCAACTAGCTGTGTGTTCCAAAACTGTGGCCCACCCTACTATCCTGTCAGACAAAGCTCTCTGGTCCCTTTGTCTAATCCAAATGAAAAGCAGGATGATCTGCTCTGTGGCTGACGTTCTCAGCAAGCAGATAATGTTGGCAATATTGACAGTTCTTCCACAGGGGAGGTTTTAACCTTGGAATCATGTCCTATGTAAACACAGGAAAAGGAAACCTCAGCAACTGCTGCTGGAGGTCACAGGAGTACAGCTGCTTGGATAACCATGGCTCTGACTTCAGTCCCTCCCCTTCAGTGTATACCTTTTATTCTGCTGATCTGAAAATTTTAATTTGGAAAGATTTGACTAGTCTCTCGGAGACAGTTGCCCGGTAAAATACAGGCCACCCAGTTACGTGTGAATTTCAGATAAACAAGCAATATTTTTTTTTAGTACAATATATCCCAGATATTGTATGGGACATACTTATAGTGAGTGTAAAGCATGACTTTGATTAAAGCTTCTCTTGAACCTTAGCACTGTTTACAGCATAGTTATCAAGACTTATTCCAATTAAACTTTTCTCCTGACAATCTTTTACATCAGCTATAAAGGCTTTCTGTTTGCCCTTAACACAGAATCTACTGCCTGGACAGCATTTCTATGCTTTCTAGATAACACGCCCTTAATAAGAATCCTGAATGTACATATACAATCAAGTTGTTATCAAGGGGCATCAGAATAGAAGATGTAAATGTATTAGTACATACATTTACTAATATCATCAAAAAAGTAATTGAGTAGGTAAGAACATACTATAAAGCAATTTCCCTTATGCTGCAAAATTGTCTCATTAGCATCTAGATGGTATCTTTTCTCTTAGGAGACCAAGGTCTTTACATAATGGGGACTCTCACCATATAATGGCTATTATGCCTGCTTAGAATCTACTGTGAATCTCAGTCTTCATCCCATGCATGTGATAAGCACACATACTTCAAACAGATTTAATGGGAAACAGAGGCATTACTTCATATAGTTGAGGAATTTAAGATTTATCATATTAGGTTAGCTGTATTTTTAAAAAAGTCATGAAATCATTTCTACTCACAATTTTAATTTTTAATGCTCTTATAATTATTTCCAAAGTCCTTCAATTATATGTATAGCGATTTAATGACATTGAATGTATTAGGTATTTATCCCAGGAAATTTGTTTCATAAAATGTTAAAACTGATCCCCATAATGTTATCTAGATCCAGAATTTAAAACTGTAGTATCAGGAGCACTGGGTACTGGGTGAGAGGGCAGAGTTACAATTTTTAAAAGGGTGATGGAGGAAAGCTTCACCACATAGTTGTCATTGGAAGGAAATGAGGAACTTGAGAATATTCTTAGCAGTGAGAAGATCCAGTGCAAAGTCCCCAGGGTAGTACTATGCCTGGTATCTTCAACAAGCCACACAGAGGCCAGTACGACTGAAGGGGAGTGTAAGAAAGTAAGGAGAACAGATGGAGATTTAGTCTGAGAGTTCATGGAACGCATACTTAGGAGTGAATTACAGGACATTTAGGGGTTTTCATTCTGAAGAAAGTAGAGGATATTTGCAGATTTGGGCAGAAGGGAAGCCAGAAATCACTTTTGCTATAGAAGGATCACTCTGGCTGTGGTGCGGAAAGCAGACTGTAGCAAGAGGAGCAGGAGTGCCAGCGAGCACTGGTAGTAATAAGCAAGCCTGAGTGCCGTGTCGGTGGCTCGAACCAGGAGAGTAGCAGGAGAGTAGGGAGAAATGGTCTGTCCTGGATGTATTTTGAATATAGGGGCAGCAGAATTTCCTGATAGATTGTCTGTGGGGGTTGAGAGAAAAGGATGATTCAGGGAGGAATTTATTTTTTGACTGAGCAAGTGGGAAGATTGCTTCGCTCTCAACTGAGATGAGAAAGCCCAAGAAGTACTTGCTTAGGAGTGAGGCAGGCAAGGGAGGCCAGCAGTGCAGTTCTGAAGATGTTAATTTTTTAGATGTTTATTAGAAATCTAGAGGCATTGAGTAAGAAATTGGATATGTGAATCTTGATTTTAGGAGAGAGGTATGGAGCTGGCTCTGTAGTTTTAGGAGTCATCGGTAATATTTTAGATTTAAAGCTCTTGAGACTCGATGAGATCAGCAAGGGAGAAAGATGACTGAGGAAAAAACGCTGGGAGCTGCAATGAAAGAGGTCCTGGAAAAGAGGAGGAACTAGGCAAAGAGACTGAGAAGACAATGAGACTAGAAAGACAAAGACAGAAGACTGTAGATTTTGCAAACCAAATGAAGAGATCATGAAGGAAGAGGGAGTCCTCACCTGCCTCCAGTTCTGCTGACTAGCAAGTTAGATGAGAACTAAGAATTCACCTTTGGTTTTAATAATGTGGAAGTCATTGGTGATCTTTATAGGAAAACTGTCCATGGCAGGTTGGGGCAAAATCTGACCAGAAAGGGTTCAAGTGGAAGTGAAAATAAAGGTATTGCAGACAGTGAACACAGGCAATGCTTTTTAGGACTTTTGCTGTAAATGTGAATGAAGAAATGTGTAAGGAAATGCATGTCCAGGTTGGCATTCCATGTGAATGAATTCTGTCATAGGTCAGGGTGGAGAGATGGGCTTCACCAGGAAGCTTCTTCAGTAACGATAGTTTATTAGACAGATCTTATAGGGATTCCTCCCCTACCCCACCCCTTCTTAGAGCCACCTTGGCAGAAAGGAAGGGTCACAGAGAAGGATCTCTGCCTTTGTTGCACTGCAGGTACGTTATTTTTTAAATGAAATAATTGCACAAACTATTGGCAAAGGAGAATAGCAGCAGCTCTACATAGAGGGAGAGCTGATGTGCACCTCCAACCTAAGAATGTGTGAATATCTACACATATTAAAACTAAATAAATAGCAGCAGGTGCCAAAAGCTTAGGTATTAATTTGCCCAGAAGATGTGATTTTCTCTCTCTCTCTCTCTCTCTCTCTCTCTCTCTCTCTCTCTCTCTCTCTTTCAGTGTTCTCTCTCTCTCTCTCTCCCCCTCTCTCTCCCTGCCATCGCCCCCGTGTGTGTGTGTGTGTGTGTGTGTAACACTTCAGTAGTTCTCAAAAACAAAATTAAAGACCCATTTTGGGATGAACTTGATCACTTCTCTAAAATGAGATCTGTAGTAGTGCATCACCTTTGTGCTGTTAAAAATGCAATAGTCCTGGCAAACATTCGTAGGTTTTGATTTAACAATTCTTTGTTGGGGTCTAAAATGCATTATTTTTTATAATAACCCAGGTGATCCTGATGCAGTTGGTCTATAAACCAATTGGACTAAGGGCAAATATGAGTTAAATTATAGCTTTTTATTTCCCCTTAAGAATAACACTGTTTTCAGTGTTAGCAGAGAAAAGTTTCTCTTTGGGGAAATATGATTTTATAGACTAACAGAAGCTTTGTGCCAGCAGAATGAGTTTAGATCCAGACTTCAGAACAGTCTGGGACAGAGCTGTGAAAATAATTGTGATGCCTACACCATTATGTTAATGGACCAAACCAATGAACTAGCTATAGTTGAATCTCAACATTCTGGTGGCTAGATTCAATGGAATTCAGATTGAAAATGTTTTACATTGCTCGTTTTTATCTTCCACTCATAATTCTACTCATAATTATTATCTAGCAATGAAAGCTGTAGAAGAAGTTTTTTATTATAATATAACATAAAATGGAATTTGCTTAGATTTTTATCAGAAGAAGTTTCTTTTTTCTCTCTCTGGGCTCTTGAAAACATTTATAGTGCTAAACTAATTTTCTACATGTTGTAGGGATTGTGACAATTGGAGAAGAAAAGAAAATTTGTACTGTCTCTGAGAATTTCCTGAGGATGTGTGAATCCACTGAGGTGAGTATTTTTACAGCCTTCAATTTTGTCAGAATTTTAGCTTCACTTTGTTATTTGGAGAATATATAATTAAATCTATATTGAATTTTCCCCTTTTTTCAGAGGCAATTTTACTTACAGTGATGTTATTCAGGGGGACTAGAAAATAAACATGAATGAGATGCTTTGCATGTTCCAATAAAAATTATAATACATATTTTCTTTTTTCTAGAAACTTGTTTCAATGGAAGTTGAAAAACAATTATATTTAAAGAGATAATATAGTCTTATATTGTTATAATATTACGGAAAACCATCATTATTAATCACGATCTCATCTTTCTAATGAAATCATGTTAAAATGATGCTGTTGCAAAGATTCAAATGATTTGCAAGAGAAAAGATATTGTAGTAATGTTTTTGGAGTAAGTGACTTATCACAGGGTCACTTCTGTTAAAGACGTACAGTTTTCATTCATAAGAATCAGGTGGCTTGATCTCTCTTTTCTTTGCAACCTTGACACACGTTTGGTTCTCTGGTTTCTTTTGCAGCTGAACATGACCTTCCACTTGTTTATTGTGGCACTTGCTGGAGCTGGGGCGGCAGTTATTGCTATGGTAAGACCTCAAGGCCCTGAGGCTTGGTTTTTCGACTTGAATTACAAAGCTATTTGCTTGTAGAGATGATCATTTATCTCTAATATCTGAAGTCCCTATGAATCATATTTAATTTAATATCAGTAAAAACGGGGGGAACGATGGGCAAATAAATAAGTGAAAAACAGGCTTAACCTAAAGAAATAGTATCATTACAACAGAGATAATATTTGGTAATTAGTTTAAGGATTACAACACTCAATAATATGGTAACTAACAAAAATAAATAAATTCATTAGCGTTTAGATATTACATTACTATTAACATAAAAATCAACTCTGGAGCATATGTGTATGCATCAGTGTGATAGTCTAAGTAATATAATCAATTCCTTAACTTACATTATCCTTTTTTTCTCCTTAAATAAGAACATAAAAAAGCCATAATGAGTCACTTATGAAAAAAGGATTAATTTTCTTAAAATAAATCTCAGTAGTTTCACATCATGTCTTCTATGTCTAATATCTAACTTTCTTCAGAAATATTAAGAACAAGTTTTTAAATTCGGGCTTTTAGCAAGTTTGGAAGACCTACGATGTGTCAAAGCCTGTCTCCTGCTTTGTAACTCACCACAAATTCCAGTTTCTCACTGGAATGCTTTTTTTTTGAATATCAACAATAAATAAATACTCTGAACATCAGTAGTAGATTTTGCAGCCAAGGTCTTGAGTCCTTATTTTCGTATCCTAGAATCTAAGTAGCACAGGACTCTGTAAGTGTCCTAGTAACTTCACCAATGTTATAGCCAATTCAATATGTAAAAATGATTAATTAATTTAGATTTGATTCCTTTCCTGTGGTGCCAGTACATCGTTTAATATGTTGGTGCAAAGAAGACCTTTTAAAAAATATTTTATCTTTTGTCAAAGATTAAAAATAAGAATGAAGAGACAATGCTAATGTGCTAATGAGCCGTTTCAGACCAGTTATTTTTAGGGACTTCATCACACTTTTGTGTTAAGATATGCTTTGGTTTTTTTAAAAATTATTTTTTAAAATATCTATCAAAACCGATTGTGTCAGTGCTAAAGTGAGTTTTCAGATATTTTGTTAATTTTATATCATGTTAATTGTTTCACATTTTAGATTTAGTGTAGAAACCTCTAGTAGGAATTTCATTTCAAAATATGAGATGCTTAATAAGATTGTTGATTAATTGATTAATTGGAGGGAACACAATAAAACAATAAGCAAAGATCTTATGTTATCGACCTAAACTCAAAGCTAAAATATGCCCTGGATGAGCATTCACATGTTCTGAGCAGTGATGTTCCAAACATGCATGGTTCTAGCAGCCCCTGGCCTGGCTGTCAGAAAAGAGGAAACAACCGTTTATTTGTGTTCACAGACACATTCCTGTGCGATGGATAATTTTTAGGGACTTGTGTATGTTCAAGCATATACACCCATGAATAAGAGGTCTGTCAAAGTACTTTCTGCAAAGTGGTGTATAATAAAGCTTTTGTTTGCATTTATAACATATATATGTATGTAAAATGCCTTACATTAGTGAAAAGTACCTATCTAAATGAATAATGTCATTTAAATGTCATTAAAAATGCCTACTCTGAAATGATTCTGTTATCAAAAAATTTTAAGATAAAGGAAATTTAGATGCTCTGTATTTCTTAAAGAATCTATGCTTTGCCTAGCTTTACATATCAAGTTATAAATAAATTTTATTTCAAACAGAGAAACTTTAGAAGATTATTTTTTTAAGTACTAAGCATCTTTTTGGACATCTAAATATACACAAAGCATAAATTCTTTAAGAAATACATAACATCTCATTAATTGGTTTTGGTAATAGTTTAGGTCTTAGAAGACAAGGATAATACTGTTGGAGAAAGGTTGCAAAATCAGAAGGACGGGAAACCAAGCACCACTAGGAAAGTTGGAGAACTCAGGCTTATTATGCTGGCGGTCCCAGAAGAGCTAGTGCTCTGAGGATCTGGGCCCCAAGCTCAGAGGCAGCCTTGTTTTTATAGGGCTTATCTGTGCAGTTACATTTGGCCAGTTGATGTGGTCCGATTGGTTAATTTGTCCTCAGGCAGTTACAAAGAGTTACAAAGCAGGAGATTTTCAGACAGGAACTCAGGCAATACATCTGTTATCTAGATAGAGCAAGCAAAAGGGAGGATGAGTCTTTTAGTTAATTTTGAGGTCACCGTGCCCTTCGGTCTATGGAGCAAGCATATTTACAGAAGCAGAACAAAGAGCCGATTATAAGCTTAGCCTTTTGACTGGAAAATTCCTCTTCAATGTAACTATTGCTACTGTTCCTGGTAGTAATGCTACTACCAGTATTACTGCTATTAGTTATTGTCTCTTTAAAACTTACTCTGTTGAAAGCACTATCGACTGCTTCATGTAGATGAATACATTCAATAATCATAATACAGTAACTGTCATGAGTTCCTTAACCTCATCATGAACTCATTTGACACCGTATGGCTACCATCGTTATTTCCATATGATAGATGAGAAAAATGAGATGAATTCTATTCTACCAAAGTATTTACAGCATTGTCTGTAATTTAAGGCAAGGCTTATAAGAACTTCAAACTAACATGCACTCCATTGCATTATTTTTTAGAAATGTTAGGAAGTTCTATAGGCTAACAAAATTAGTCAACTTAGCATTGCACCAGTTTCCAGAGATCGCTATTAACCTGCTGAGGGACAGTAACAAGTCTGGCAGCTTGTGTTTCTCTAAGGCCAGAGGAAACATTTGAAGACCACTATAAAGCACCAGTGTCTGAACTAGAGTGACACTGTAGTTGAAATATGAAGACATACATATTTAATAATAACTTAAGGGTGATATCTCCTTAGACTTTAAGGGAAAGTTTTTGAACATCTAAAAATATATTTATTCATGTGGCAAATATTCTGAATACCTACTACTTGCTAAGTACTATCCACAGCATTTGATATTTTCACAACAGCAACAACAAAAATATACCACATAAATTTGGTTATGTATATAAGAATTATTCAAGCCACATATATACAGTGATTAAGCTTTCACTATAAAAATGCCATGAAAAACAAGAATATAACTCACAGCTCCTGCTTACATGTGGCTTATTATTTTCATTAAACAAAATGCAAAATTTCAGAGGAAATGGAGCTTTCTGAAAATAGCTTGTTGTATGCTATTAATTGGTATGCATCTTTTTTTCTACATTGTTATGTCAAAATTGTTTTATTAATTTTTTTCTACTGTTTGTTGACTATCTTAATGTACCATAATAGTCACCATTTAGGATTGGCTTTGCATTCTTTATGTACTTTTCTAGAACCAGCCTACTGCCTGTCTTTCAAAGTACTTGACTAATCAAAATTTTAGTGTTCTATTTTACTAAATTGTGGATAAATTATTGTCTACCTTTTAAAACTCAGAGAAAGTAAATAACTGACAACTTAGTTTCCCTTTCCTGTTCATCCATTGAAATCTATCATTTGGAAAACTGCTTTATCTCTCTTATGGACCAAGGAGAGAAAGAAAAAAAACCAAATAAGTGATCTCACTACTGAGTCATTCAGGTCAAATCAGGATCTTCATTACTTGAGTAACTTCATCACTCTAGACAAATCAAGAACTTCCTTTTTGAACATGGCACTATTCTATCTATTGTGAGTGTCTATAAATATACAAAATTCATATGATACAATACTTGCTTGTTTGTAGTTTGAATCTAAAGGAAACTGCAAATTTCACTGTGTAGAAAATTAACTGGATAATTAAATCCAGTTAATTTGGAGTTTCTGTGATTCCTCTTGTTATTTCACAGTGAATAATATATCTTCCCATTAATTCGAGTTGACTAGACTTAAATTGTATATAAGACTATTTTCTGATTATGGATTAGAAAACGGGTACATGGACATGAAATGTATAGTCTTATGGTTCGGGTAAATGAGGGCAGAATGAACAGGAAACACCACATAAAGATTAAGAATCAGTCTTGGATACTTCAAAGTTGGAAAAGAAGAAAAAGAGATACTGAAAAGACAGGGAGCCAAGAAGATAATGTCCTATAGTTGGAGGACTGAGTGAAGAATATATTTTATTTATATCATTTCTATTACCACAGAAATTCTGGTTCCATTATATTAATGAACGGATCTTATCTAAGTATACAATTTGAGTATTTCTTTCCCAATAGCAAAGGGTAATGAGATGCTGTACAGACTTCCCATATAAATTATTTTTGTCTTTAACTAGGTTCACTACCTTATGGTTCTGTCTGCCAATTGGGCATATGTGAAAGATGCCTGCCGGATGCAGAAGTATGAGGACATCAAGTCAAAGGAGGAGCAAGAGCTTCATGACATCCACTCTACTCGCTCCAAAGAGCGGCTCAACGCATACACATAAATAAAACCTTCCCATCCTTCTACCATCCAGATGCATTGGTGTTTAACTAAGGGCCATCCAACCATCCAACCTTTTGAAAAGTAAAATAAAAGTGCTTCTCATCAATGATATAGAGGGTGACTTATGAATCACCTGACTACAATTCTTTGTTGTTTAGCACTTAATTTCCTAATTTGTAAAATTGGTGTAATCAGATATCTTCTACAAGCTCCTATCTAGTCTTTTTCTTTTCTAAATTTCTCAAACTCATTTAATAATTCTGTAAGATCAATGATACTAACATTGTCAAATGCAGAGATTAATTTGATTTTTAACCACTTCTCATGTGTGTTATACATAACACCTTTTGCATTATTTCTTATGTTTTGAAAAGAAAAACAGCTTTTTATACTTTTTAGTTTTGATTTCGGTAACTAGTTTAACTACAGGTAGCCTTCAAAGGGACCATTGTACATTATGAACAATAGACAGAGATGATATCATGATGACTCTTCTTGAAATATGGAAATCTTGTGTGAAGATCAGCGGCCCCATTACTATAGGCCGTAGTTCATGTTTTCATCCATCTAAGGTGCAATTTCTAAATTTGTAAGAGTAGGTTAAAAAAAAGTGCTTCTTATCTTTGTTAACATTGTATTTTTTCTTGATGTATCGAAGAGGTATTTCCCTCTGATTCCTCATGTTTATGTTGTGAGCATGTAGAAACAGTAATGCTAATGCATGGCTAGTTGCCTTTTTAAGATTGTGACACCGGGCTTACCTTTTAAAGTTTAGTATAGAGAGAATTTTAATGGAAATAACTACTGTAGACTATCGGAAAATGATCTCTTCGTGATTTAAGCAGTGGCTGGACTGGAACTTTTAATATGCTAATGTGGAACATTAATTACCTTTATGAAGGTGGAATATGAAAAATAAGCACACTAACCCCTCAGAAGTTGTTTTACCTACTTTAAAAAGTTTTAATGGATTGCACCTCTGTAAACTATCCCTCAAATGTGTATTATATATTTGAAAAGGCTTCCATTAATATAATAGCTTTGCTTGCAGCCTTCCAATCTATGTTGGTTTACCTGTAGTGTTTTTTAAAGTGTGGTCAGAGGCCACTATACAATGTATCCTTTCGAAGTGTAGTGGTATATCTGTGTTTTTATTTCTAGTAAGTCATTTTAACCAAATGTTCATTCATATTCATTTACAAGAAGTACCTATATCAAAGGAATAAAAAAAAGCAATCAGTATTATTGGACCAAATTTGGTGTTTGTTTTAACCTGACTCTTCTTTTGATTATTTCTAATGCTACAAGAATGCTGTAAAGTGTCTTTTAAAATGATGTCACCTGACAAGACATTTTTGTCAGTGTATAAAAACTAGGTAGTATTGTGCACTGATTTGACCATTGTGAAATCTTTTCTCAGTGTAAGTGCATTTCTAATAAAATTTATTGAGTGAAACAATCTTTGTACAACGACTAGTCATGCATCATCCATAATTTTACAAGTTCTTGTAGTATGTAGGGATATTACTAGGGTTCTCTGTGGCATGATAATGCATCTGTAGTATTATTTAATTAATTTGGGGTTTTGCTTTTTTTTAGATTATCTTACTGGGTCAACATTTTTCTGATATATGCAGTATTACATATATTCAGCAAAAGTATTAATGGGCTTCTTTAAATTCTATATGATAGTGTTTCAGTTCTGTGTCTTAACAGTTTGTGATGATTTTTAAAACTGTCTTTTAAACTTATGTAATGATGTTGACGCTTTTGCCTTTTTTTTTTCTGGTATTAGAGTTTGTATTTTCACAAAAGAGTGCTTTGTAGCAGGCATTACAAATAATCTGTTTTGTACATAAATGTGCCAACAGCTTGATGGTGGCGTTTTTGAAATGTAGAACAAAGTGCTTGCAAACTGTAATAAATATACTTGTGTACTTTGTGTACTTATTATTAGTTTCTGCAGTGTTTTTTTTTTTTTCTTGTTTTGTTTATTCCTCTTTCTTATGTGTGTGCATTCTTTTCAAATGCAATAGGCGCTGTCTCCTTTGGATGGTTATTACCTCAGTTGAGCTGACCTAACACTTCAAAATTTAGTGAAAATTCTCTGCATGAACATACATTCTGGGAATGAATGCTGACGAGGTGGGAGAAGGCAAAGGGTAAAAGACTTTAGAGGTCATTTCATTTAATAAATGATCACAATTCCCAAATTATGCTGTTTCTTTGCCCAATTTTTATTGTTTTGTGTTTCCTTTAGTGCTGCATAAACAAACAGAGAAACAAAAAAGACTAATGCAATTCAGAAGAAAAACTGATTTCTTGGTTCGCTTCAAAATATCAAGGTGAGAGCAATGAAATGAAAAAAAATATTTTCTAGACTTTTTGTTTATATCAGATGTAATTTCTTCTGGCCAAACTAGAAGTGATGTCGATTTAAAAATAATAAAATAGTTATCGATAACAATCTTATTTTTCATAAGGCCTAAGGATTTGTATAAGTCTTTAATTATTTATGTATTAGTATAAGTGGTAACTTGGAAATTTCATGGACTTAGGTTACAGATATCTACAATAATTATAAGTAGATCTGGACAAAATGTCTTATGTTTTAAAAACTTAGTTTTATATAGGGGATATCCTATATAAATCTTATCAAATGATAATTTTATCCTTTCTAGTGTTTATGAAATTCTTAGCATAGCAACAAGATAATAAAGAATTTTATGTTAAGCAGTATCAGTATGAACTAAATTTCACAGTGTATGCTTTTCAAAAAGACCTGATCATTATAACATAATTATAATACTAAACAAAATTTTTGAAAACTAAAGAGGCCATTTCTATTTGTAACATATACATTTATCTTTAAAGCAAGTAGTTTCCTTTTCCTACCTAGCTTTACTGAGGTATAATCACCATGTAATAGTTTTGGGAACTAAAGCTAATGTGAAGACTCAGGAACTTATGCACTTTCAGAATAAAATGTGTGTTGGCCAGCTCTGACTTGGGTGTAATCAGTTTACTTCTTCATGTTAAAACTTAGAAATAACAGATTCCGATTTTTTTTTCACTAAAGATCAAGTAAACTTGACTTTTTGTTTTGTTTTATTTTTGCCTTTTACACAAAAACGGAAACATATCATTTTAAAATATATTTCACATAAGTAACCTGGTAGCTGAAATATGCTGAATATGATGAAATAGGAATTAAATTATCATGCCTTGAAGAAACACTCTATTAAGTTTTCTACATGGTTTTCAGATAGCAGACCATTTGAAGTCAATGGAGGCAAGTCTATAAGATACTGCTAGGTCAAATATCAACATCTCTCCATTGGCTTTAGTAAGCCCAGGACCTTGAGTTTCTTCTCATGGAAATGACTTTTACCTGTTTGTTCCTTTTAAGTTCTTTTACTCTTTTCCATTAAAATTCATTATACTTAAAAACTGAAAAGAACTTAGAAAACTAAAATAAGTCTAATTATTAAATTCATTAATTAAATGAATGAAATAAAATATAAAATGAAATAATATTGAAATGAAATAAAATTTATCTTGACCATTGTATTTCTAACCTGTTGAAACTTCTATAGGTGGAAATAGCAAACAAAATAAAACAAACAAACAATGGAGAAATAAAACATAAGAGATCCAAGTAATTCTGCTATCATTCTTTTGGTAAGAGGGATGAAGCAGAGTAGTGTTATTGGAAGGTTTATATGGTATGAAGGATTTAAAAAAGAAAGTCAAAAATATAAAAACCAAGCATTAGACCAAGTAATAACAGCCTTCAAAACACAACCAAAAAGTGCAAAAATAATGGACAGTTATTATTCTCTTCAGCAGCTTTTGCCCTCTACTAAAGGTACTTGAGCAGCCACTCAACCTCCAGGTCTCACAGAGCGGAACATTCTTTTTGTCCCCTAGAAGCTCAGGACAGGACAATGGAGGAGCTGATCTGCTTGACTGCCTAACATTGCTGTTCTTAGTAGAAAATGAGAACATTTTTTGACTTTTAGAAATGTGTTTTAATCTATCTTTTATTCATTTCAACAATTCTTGTTTTCTCTTGGGGGCCACCATGACGATAATGTGGTATCCCGCGACAAACCCAACTTAATGAGTCGAGCTCTCTGAACTGTCATGTAGACTGAAAGGGGTAATAGTGAAAGGAATGTGCTGATGATGGAGCAGAGGCGCTGCCTAGCTTGTCATTTAGGACAGTGATTATGTGCCTGTATGGATCAGATTTGTTTTATTGTTATTTTTGTTATATCCTTTTCTTCTCAGAAAGATTTACACAAGTTGTCATAAATAAATTAACATTTCCATTTCTACTGGACATGTCAGGGAGTGTTCACCCATGTAATCTGATAAAAATACACATGATGTACTTTTGTGCTTTCTAACAAATGAGCATTTAGAATTGGCATATTTCTAGTTTGGGGGAATTTTCTTATTGACATCAATTAATCTTTATATAAAATTTGTTAATCTGCACTTGAAATTTTATATAGCATACTTATAGTGTAATCCAATCAATTATACTGAGAAAGGTATAACGTCAACCTACCCTTTAATAAGTAAAGGGAGAGGATTCCCAGAAAGAAGAAATGAATTTAAAGTAATGCAAACATCATTTAAGGAATACTGGAATGGTCCAGCAGATTATTTTAACACGAGCTAGAATAACTGCTTCCATCTTATCTTCCCAATCACCTCTAGCCTGAATGATCCAGAAATACAACACAAAGTTTTCCAGACTTTGAGCAAACTATATTTGCTTTTCTCTATATAGATAATGTTCACAGTTATTACTGTGTTTATTGTCTTACTTAGTACTTTATTTCTGAGCAGGACAGGATCAGGTCTTTGAGAGAAAATGCAACCTCCTGAATGAGAACTGAGTGTCCTTGCTATGTGGATGAAGCTTAATAAGACAATTTTCCTGAATGACATCTTTATGGTTTTAAAATAATTATTATTTCCAAGCAACTGGATTATACCCAGCAAATAGTACACCAAGTAGATTAGAGATTACAATGTAACAAATGCAAATAATATAAAAACCACATTTTAAACACATGGTATTTATACGAGTCCACACAATTTTAAGATTTTCCCCCTGATTTTTTAATTTCCACTACCTGATATCCAAGAATCATCAGGTACCTTCTATATTTCCACAAATTGAGTACCTATTGATTTTTATAGCAAGTATAAACTTAATGCTTCAAGTAACAGGAATGGAGATTTCCGCTAAGCCACGTGGAGACTTCAGATATTAATGTAAACATCCCGACAAGTCAGTGACAGAGGTCCCTACTTGTTTTCTCTCCAGTATCATTGCCTCCTGCCTCACTCCAGCCTCTCAATCTCTCAACCTCATAATTTCTAATAACTGCAAACAATGCATAATCTAAATGTTATGCATTCCATTTCCAACTTCCATTTGCCACCTTTCTAGCTTACTTACTTCATTGAGACTATATAGCTATTGATCTCCCAATTTTTTCAGCTCTTCGTTCCCCTTATGTCCTCAGGTCCCTCAGTAACTAGCTTATATTGCATGGTCAACCATGCAATCACTCCCTTGGCAAATCCTCAGGACCTTTGACCCTCTATCTTCCTTAAACTCACACGGTAAAATGTCAGCCCTGGTTTAAGTCATCTATCTGTTCACATCTGAACCTAGGTAACTAAGCATGCTTGGAGAAAAACACATGCCCAGGCTGACCAACCTCACCTAAGTTTAAGTGAGCCGTCAGAGCTATCAATAAATTTACTCCATTTTTCTAAAACAGGGAGGGGTTAGCAAGTTTTTCTGTGAAAGACGGCATAGTGAATATTTTAGGTTTTATGGGCCACGACGTCTCTGTGGCAACTTCTTAACTCTGTCCTTGTAGTGCAGGAGCAATAGTTGAAATATATACATAAATAGGCTTAGCTGTGTTCCAGTGAAACTTCATTTGCAAAAACAAATGGCGACCAAGATTTAGCCTGAGGGCCACAGTTTTCTGACTCCTGCCCTAGAGCATTCATATTCTGCCTCTCCTGATGGCTACTATATCACAGCTTTTTCTTATCAAACTTCCAGCACTTTCTTTTCATTTATAGAGTTAGAAATTGCTTTCTAATTCTGAGAGAAATGAGAATCAGAAGAATGTTTCTGTAATTTCCCATCACTTTATTAATCTGTGTTAATCTCTGATTCTTCTCCTTTTAATATGGATAAATGTTTCTCAGGCCAAATATACTCGATATATTCTGAATCTCATCTCCTTTTACCTACTCAAGGGTAGGCATCACTCTAGGAAATTTTACCTCTCTTCAATCTCTTCAATCTCTAATGGTTTATTCCAATCTTAAAACAAGCAAACAATAAGAACCAAATACTCTGTCTTGATTCCTCATCTCTATATATCCACCCTCTTTCTCTGTTCTCCTTTATAGCATATCTCTTTGAAAGAGACGTATAATCACCTCCAGTTACTCACCTATCATGTTATCTCATACTCCTTACAATCAGTTCCTCATACTTAGCACTTTACGGAAATGTCCTCCACATTGCTAAATCCAATGCTTAGTTTTTGAGCATGCCTCCACTACAGCCAATTATCCTGCTAAGCATTGAGATATAGCCTTAAATAAAATGTAATAAATGTTTGCCCTTTTATGGCTTATATTCTGATGCAGGGAGACAAATACTAATAAATAGGATGTAAGGTATTTTTGAGATAAATGCTATGGAGAATAATAAATCATGTAAGATACTCAGGGAATTTGCCGGGTTGGGCTGAGGTGGAGAATCTTCAGAATCGTTATGAGAAGGTAACTCAGTGTTACTGAGAAAGTAACATTTGAGTTAAGATCAGACCAAAGAGAAGATGAAATACTGCCACTTGTGACAACATGGATGAATCTCGAGACTATGATGCTAAACGAAATAAGTCA